GGGGGGGGGGGGGAGAGAGAGAGAGAGAGGAGAAAGAGAGGAGAGGATAGAGAGAAAGGATAGAGAGGGGAGAGAGAGGGGTAAGCCCGGTGGCATGTCATGACCAGCCGCCCCGGCTTCCTGATTGGTCAGGGAGCCAGGCTGCCTAGCAACAAGTGTAGAAGGCTTCCTAGCCAATCAGGAAGCCTGGAGGTGGGTCATGGCATGCTGCCCGGCTTCCTGGTCAGGAAGCCAGGCTGCTAGCAACAAGTGAAGCCGGCTTCCTAGCCAATCAGGAAGCGGGTCATGCCTGCCGCCCGGCTTCCTGATTGGCCAAGAAGCCGGCTCCATTCTCCCTCGTGGCACTGCCAGTGAGGGGGAAACTCCCTCTGACCGGAAGTTCATGTATTGGGGTCAGAATTGGAGCAATTGGACAAGTACTCGCCCAAATACTCAGTATCGGCACCAATACCGATATCAGTATCGGTGCATCCCTATTAACCACATACATACAGTATATTAACCACAAATACTGCATTTTGCTTGTTCCCAATTTGTATCTTTCTGAAATTATAATATTATATACACACACACCAAACAGCCACAACATTATGGCCAACCGTCTAATACCTAGCAGGTCCCCCCTTTTCTGCCAACAGCCCTGATACATTGAGGCATGGACTCCACTAGACCTCTGAAGGTATGCTGTTGTAACTGATACCAAGCTGTCAGTAGCAGATCCTTTAGGTCCTGTAAGTTTCAAGGTGGGATCTCCATGGATCGGGCTTGTTTTTCCAGCACATTCCACAGATGCTCAATTGGATTGAGATCTGGAGAAATTGGAGGCCGAGTCAAACTTATTGTGTTCCTCAAACCATTCTTGAACCATTTTTGCAATGTGGCTGAAAGAGGTCACTGCCATCAGGGAATATTCAATATGAATAGCCGCACCCATGTTTTCCCAGAACATTTCACAAAGCATTGCACTGCTTCCGCTGGCTTGCCTTATTCTATTGTGTATTCTGGTGCCATTTCGTCCCCAGGCAAGTGACACACATGCAGTCGGCCATCCACATGGTCTTGGTCCATCAAACCAGGCCCCCATCTCACATAGCTTTGTGATCTAGTTCTGATGCTCACATGCCCATTGTACATGTTTTTGGTGGTGGACCTCTGTCAGCATGGGACACCTGAACTGTGTGCACCTGTGCAGCCTTATTCACAAAAAAATGATAAGCACAGTGTGCAGACTCCTTTCTATCTGAACCAGCATTAACTTTTTCCTCTATATGCTGACAGAGCAGAACCGTGCTACAGTTGGGATCCACCCCGCTGCCTGATTGACAGCTGGCTTTGCCTCTCCAGAGGCAAAGCCGCCCCCTCCACGCCCATCCCTTCAGTCAGTGCAGGGAGATGACCAGGATCTGAGCGATCGGTGGTATGTGATCACTTAGCTCTTGATCAATAGAGCTGACATGTGACAGCTTCAGTTTTTATAATTCTCAATTCTATTAATTTTATAAACTAATTCCCCTATAAGCGTAAAATATAGACTTTTCAGACACTAAGATTGTAAACAACAGGTGACAGTGGTAGGGGTCCTTTTTCACATTAAAAGGGAAGCACACCATGCTTTCTCTAGATTCATAACTGTAGCACTGTGTAAAAAAATCAGGCTGGAGAAGTGCAAACTACATTATTTGCAGGCAGAAATTCCAGATACAAAAAACATGCCAATGTGTAGCAGAACCTTTAAGTGGAAGTGAAGTTAAAAAAATCGCCCTTTTGCACTGCAGCCATTTCTATGTATTTTTCTAAAACCCTACTGTCATACCTTTTCAACAGAATCACTCCTCTCACTGTAATGAATTGCACTATAAAGGAAATGCAATAGAAGAAAGCAAAACAGTAGAAAACCGGTGCTGCTGACTAGCAGATGGAAATAATTCCCACAGGTATTATAGCTCTATAGTTGTCACCTTGAAAGCCAACAACAATCTTCAGTCTAGGCTGTTAGCTCAGAGTCATGTTTTTTTACAACACCAAGAACTGCCTGAACTAGTCAATTTATGGTTGCAGTTTTTAATATTTTGGCTACCTACAGGTAGAAATGAAATCACCCAGTAATGATTTTCATATTTCTGAACAGACTTATACTATTTCTACAGTAGAGAGATGGAAACTGGACCACCTCTTGGCTGGCTAAATATCTACATTACAAGCACATAATGATTATGTTTATTAAAACGTTCACCCTCTATTGCTTTTGTACTATTTTACTCTTCCTAAAATGCGCAGGTATTATGAAAGAAAGACAAAACATCTGCACATAATATATTCTGTTTGAAATAGGATATGTTGTAAAATCCTTTACTCTGCCTTCATTGAAGGACACCACTGGGACCATTAACTTCACACTGCTGGGTTATACCGCCACCTGCAGGAGTAGGATGCTAGGGGGAAAAAAACACTGCTCTGGGAGGCCCCAAAGACCCCCACCCACCCCCATCTGCTAGAGGCAGCTCAGTTATTCACAAAGCATAGAAAAAAAGAGGTACAGAGGGGAGGTTGCTGTGTCCTTCAATGAATGCAGAGAAAAGGATTTTACAGCGAGTACAACTACTATTTTCTCTTCAGTTCATTGAAGGACACAGCTGAGATCTTCATCTTGTGCTGATGAGACATCTCAAAGCAGTGTGATCCGAGGACTCAGAAAGCAAGCAAAAGAACAAGATCAATCAACACAGACTAAACCGCCGCCTTTAGAACTTTGAGGCCAACTTTGCAGTGAATACTAGCCCCTAGGGGCATAAGCCTGAACAGTAACCTGCCTAATCCATTGTGAAATGGTGACCGCAAAGGCTGCCTCCCCTTTCCATGGCCCTCAGTGATAAAAAAAGGAATCTGTGTTATAAAAAGTTTCAGAAATAAATTTGCACTGCCCTAACAACATCCAAGCAATGGAGCACTATCTCATTTGAGATGTGTTGGATGAGGATCAAGCAAGGAAGGATGATATCCTCATGAGCTGAAACACAGACACCACCTTAGGCACGAAGAACCACCTAGCCCTTATATAATATCAAAAGTGGGGGCTTACAAGATAAGACAGTCAATTGTGAAAACCTTCCAGGGCAGAGGTAATGATCACCAAGAAGGCCACTTTCTGAGACAAGATCAACAAGGACAACTCTTAAATATTTGTAAAAGAAAGCCTCTCTAAAACCAAAAGCACCAAATTCAAGACCTACAAAGACAACGATGATCTGGCTAGAGGAGAAACATGTGCACATCCTGGATAAAAAGGTACAAACCAGGGAGTGTGAAGCCAATGGGCATTGAACAAAAGAAAGCCAATGCTGAAACCTGATCCTTGATAGTACTAAGAGAGCCTTGCGAGAAAAGCTTCAGCCGAAGAAGAAGATGACAAAGAACATCTGTGACCAGGAACACCACATCCACATACCAAAGACAAGGCCAATCCGGAGCAACCAGTAGAACTAGGTTAGCCTCGACTGCCATGTGTTGTAGAAGCCGTGGGAGAAGCTTCAGAGGAGGAAACACATAAATTTGGTTGTATTTGTCCCACGGTGCCACCAGAGCATCTGCCCAGGGATCTGTTGCCCTGGGCACGCAATGCTTTATCTTTCAATTCAGATGGAAGGCCAGAAGATCCACATCTGGAGTCTCCCAACTCTAGGAGATCTCCTGAAACGCCTCTGGGTAAAGGGCCAATTCCCCTTGAACCAGAGCCTGACAACTTAGATAGTCTACCTGCCAATTCTCTACTCCTGTAATGTAGACCATGAACTGAGCCGGAACATGACTTTCCACCCAATGAAGTATATGTACCTGCAGTGCTGCAGCCCGACTGTCTGTGCCCTCCTGATGACTAAGGTATGCCAAGGCCGTGGCATTGTCTGACTGAACCCTAGCAGAATGCTGGAGCAGAAGATCTGTCCAGCAAAGGAGAGAAAGCTTTATCGCTCACAGCTACAGAATATTGATGGGTAAGGTGGACTCCTCCCTGGTCCAATGGCTTTGTGCTGACCACTGCCCAGTCTCCCCAACCCAAGATGCCCAGGCTGGCATCTGATGTCACAAGCTTCCAGTACTGGGAAGAAATTATCTCCGTTCGAGAGCAATGGGGAGTATGAGCCACCACACCAGATAGCTTTGACCAATCAATTTACCTATATCTGCCTGTCCAGCAACATGGGGGACATAGAAAAGGTATGCAGGTATACTTAAGACAAGCACTTTTAATTTAATCACTTTTCAGGAGGAATTCATGTTTTAATAAGCTGTAATGGTACCAAGAAATGTGTCCATATCCGTATATATAGGTAAGCTTACCTTTGTTTTTGTAGTTTATAAGAAGTATAGATTTTAAAACATTGTATGTCATATTATATGTTACAAACTGCAAAAACATACTGTATTGCACCCAGCTATAAAATTAGAGTAAGTTCTTCAGCAGCAATAGATTACCCCAAATAAAAGGATACACAATTTAAGTAGCATGGTTTGTATTTTCTTTAATACATTTGATATTTAAGCATATATATTTTTTTATCTTTTAAAAAAAACTGATATTTCCTGCCACACTAAGT